TAAAAATACCTTAATCTTCAGCAACACATCAGTAACACGTGCTACTGATTCTTTAAACGTTGCTTTTTATGGAATTAATGACATCTAGGTTTAATAAAATATCTAAATTTCTATATGTGACAGAAATCAGTCTGATTAGACATGTATCGAAACCCAATAATAAAGTACTACATCTATTTTAATTTATGCCTGAGGTTGCAATTTTTTGAATTTTTGCAATCAGCCCTTGGCAATGACCTTGAGCAGTAGGATATAAATAAATCCTACATGCTTAGCATTCCAATAATAGAACACTAAGCATAAATTAGTTAACCTATTTATGCCTAGTTTTCTAAAGGACAGAAGTTGGCATTTTTGGCTAAACAACAATCTCATAACGAACAAAAAGCTTTACCAATAGTATATAAATTGAAATATTACAGAAATCTCTAGAAATTTATATAAAAGTGAGAATAAAGGTGATCTAACTTATTACTTCTCCAAAATGAACATGGTGTTTCAAAGGAAAACCAGAATCACTTTTGAGGAGCAGCAACAAATAAAGCTCCACCCAGCTCTCACATTTGAGGGACTTTGCTCATGTTAGGAGTCAAAGCTTATTGTTTGTATGCATCCAGGAAACAAATTTGTAAAAAATTTCCATCCAGTCCAAAGTTCACTCTATCAAAATCTATTAAATGTGTATGCATTACAAGTGTGTAGACCAGAGGTTTAATTTACCGTTGCCTTGCTGGACTTAAGGAGTTATTAGATCCGGCTCAGAGTTGAAGAAAAGACTAGGACTGGTTGTAACAATAACTACCAATTCATGCCACATGCAATCATAGCCACTTCCTCAACTCTGACCTGAAGCATTTTAAAAATATTTTATCTTTTTGTATTGAAAAGTATGGTTGATACAAAAAAAAAAATCTCAATTTTTCACCACCACAGAAAAAATACTACTTAAAGTGGAGAACTTCTAGACTGAGAAATAAGTTTCCAAATATGGCAGAAGGTTTTCTGGGAACAATAATCTCCAAATCCGATTAATAGTTTTTTCTTTTCTTTTTCTTTCTTTAGACAGAGTCTTACTCTGTCACCCAAGCTGGAGTGCAGTGGTGCGACCTCGGCTCACTGCAATCTCTGCTTCCTGGGTTCAAGCGATTCTACAGCCTCAGCCTCCCGAGTAGCTGGGATTACAGGCATGCGCCACCACACCTGGCTAATTTTTGTTATTTTTAGTAGCCAACACGGTTTTACTATGTTGGCCAGGCTGGTCTCGAACTCCCAATCTCAGGTGATCCGCCCGCCTCAGCTTCCCAAAGTGCTAGGATTACAGGCATATGCCACCATGCCCAGCCTCCAATTAATAGTTTTTAAGAAAGTTTTCCCAATTCAGTTATTAGAAAGCCATGTTTAAATGGGAGACTATTAATTGATGATTTTTTAGCTGTATTTCTTAATACTTATTGTGTCTTGTAACTTCTCCTAGATGTAAGTGTGTCAGTCAGCTTTTCAGCTAGCTGAAGCCTCCCTAGGTCCTCCCTTACTTTAGCACAAAATCTGGTGGTGGTTCGTCATTGCTAAATTGGCACCTACTGAGGACCTGACATGTTGAAGGTACTGAGCAGATTCATATTGAACTTCTGCGGGAGGAATTTACTACCACACTTAAGATCTGATTATAATACTCTTGAACTCATAACACAGTCCTATGGCATGGACCTTGAGGACCCTGCAACAGGTGGTCTCAAGAACAACTGTATTTTTAAAATAACCATCATAAAATGAGTAAGGCAATGAACAATGGTGGCTCAAGGATTTTTTGTTTTCTATAAATTAAGCTTATGACAACCAGCAAAAGACTTGCCATTATACCTTATACACAGACATTGAAGATTAGGTTGTTTCTTTGGGTTGATATTATATCCATACCTGTTATTTTGTATTAAAGATGTGTTAAACCAGAAGAAAAAAGGGTAGTTGTGATAGTATCTAGGAAAATCCTAAAAAGAAAAAAAAAATTTTTTTAAGTAAAATTGATGCCAAGAACTAATCATTCCAAAGAAATTAAAGTTTCTTCCTTTATTCCTTTATATATTTATCAAATAATTATAACCATTCAATATGTAGCATTCTACATCCTATAACAATACACTCAAGACACAAAGGAGGAGGCTTATGAAAATGCTATTGCTTTCTCTTGCTGTTTCTATCAAAATTTTCAAGGAATACTATATTTTCCATGATAGATATTTAAATGCTGATATTTGAATCTGGTTTAGATAGTGTGAAACAGAATCCACTAAGGACCGATGCTTATATATACCCAAGTATTTTGTAGTGAATTCTTACAATTTTTTTTGTTGCCTCAGCATCCCTTTTAAATATAAATTGCACTTTCTGATATCAGAAGCAGGGCTCAGCCACCCTTGACAGTTTCCAGTTCACCTCCTCCCGGTTTCTCAATGTGACTGATACCAATATCTGCCTTATACAACCTTCTGCTGGTGACTACTTCATTATGGGACAGCTAGATATAACCACCCCACAGACCCCCATACTCTGCATGGACCGTGTGGATATATCAGTGACCACCTCTCAGTCACAGCATGACTCCATGCTCATGACTGCTTGCATTAAACCCACCGATTAGACCTCCCTGCAGGAAACCTGCTCAGGTAACACCTTACTTCCCAATAAAGGCTTCCATTCTCAGGTCCCTCCCTCTTTCTCACTCTTGCTGCCCACCCATCAGTTGAGCACAGGTCTCCTGCATGGCTCCCCCTTGGAGTTAGCCCTGTGAGGTGTGCTGCCCTCTTCTCTTTAGAATTAACAAAAAACTGCTTCGGTTATTTCATGTGTTGTATTGTGCTGCCTTCTCTGTGTTTCACCCGAGTCACCCAAACCTAACTCTCTTTCCAGTCAGTGCTCCCAGCTACTCAGGAGGGTGAGGTGGGAGGATTGCTTGAGCCCAGGAGGTGAAGCCACAGTTAGCTATGGTCACGCCACTGCACTCCAGCCTGGGTGACAGAGTGAGACTCTGTCTCAATTTTTAATATTAAAAATGATGCAAAACAAAATGTAACCACTGCTATGCAGTAAAACATACCTTTGGTTTTTTAGCATCTTGGCTTTTTTTTTTTTTTTTTGTATTTATTTTGTATTTTTTGGATTTGTGAATTAATACATGTAAATTTAGAAACATTTAGAAAATGTACAATTTAGAAAAAACAAATGAACAAAAATTATTCAAATTACATATGTTCTTTTAAAATTTTTGTTATAGATCTGATTTATTCCCCCTTCCTCTATGGGATGACATTTATCATCTCCCTTGTTGGGAATTGTAGTAAAGGAAACCTTAAATAAAACCATTCAAATGTTCAGACAAGAACAATGGCAGAGGCCATTTCTTGATTACTCACCGAAGAGGAAACTTGCACTTTCACATCATCATACAGAGGTGGACAGTTGAACACATCAATTATTACCCTGTCTGTTTCAATGTCATGAAATACCTGTGAATGAACACATGGAATTCAGAACTATAAACCTAGCTAATGATAACAATTCCTTTTCACTTATCCAGACTTCCTATATTTGTCAAGTACTTTTGGTCTCACAGACCAGTCACTACATGTATAAATAATTATTAATAATCTTTTCTAGTTGCAACACTGTTGTTAATATGTATGCGTGTGTGTGTGTGTGCATATATATATATATATATATATATATTTTTTTTTTTTTTTTTTTTTTTTTTTTTGAGACGGAATCTTACTGTCACCCAGGCTGGAGTGCAGTGGTGTGATCTCAGCTCACTGCAACCTCTGTCTCCCAGGTTCAAGTGATTCTCATGCCTCATCCTCCTGAGTAGCTGGGACTATAGGCGCATTCCACCACACCCAGCTAGTTTTTGTACTTTTAGTAGAGAGGGGGTTTTGCTATATTGGCCAGGCTGGTCCCAAACTCCAGCCTCAAGTGATCTGCCCACCTGGGCCTCCCAAAGTGCTGAGATTACAGGGGTGAGCCACCACACCTGGCCTGTTGTTTATGATTTTTAAAGACCAACATGTTTGAGGGTTACCATGAGGCACTTTTCAAAAGTGTCTCACTTTTCAGAAGTATTGAATTTTCTATTAGATTTTAATCAGTTAAATATTATTTAATGTGTGTTATTTGATTTTCATACAGTAGGGCCCCTTTTGAGAATATGTTAAGAAGCTCAATTTTAAAGCTACCCTCGACATTCAAAAAACGATGCTTAACTCTGGCTTTTTATTTATTAAATTTAAAAAATAACAACGGGGGTCTGTAACACTTCAGGGGGTGGGGTCCCCCTGATCATCATGTTTTATTAGAACTCTTATGTTTGTCAATGGGATCTTTGGACTTGACCATTACAGGCTGCAGATGGAGGAGTGACCAAAGATAGTTCAAGTTGTGGAATGAATAACTTTGAAGATATACTATTTCTTTGACTCACTCATATAAATAATGGCACCCACAGTAAGAAGGGTCTATGCTAGGCCCTGCGAAAAACACAAAGGAAGGTGCAGACTCTTTTGGTCCCTTCAGGGAGCTGTACACATAAGAAACAATTGTAGAATGGTATGTAACTCTCAATCTGTATGATGAAGACTGGGTGTGCTCTCATGCACCATTGAGGGCTAGTTAACAGGAAGTGCAGAAAATTTCATTGAGGAGGCAGAAATTGAATTGGGCATGAAACGGTTTAGATAAATGAAGAAGAGCTCTGAAAATAGAATCTAGTCCATACAGATGGAAAAAGACCAGCAATAACGCAAAATAGAAGTTAGAAAAACAACACAAAAGGTCAGGCAGTGTGGCTCATGCCTATAATCCCAGCACTCTGTGAGGCTGAGGTGGAAGGGTTGCTTGAGCTCAAGAGTTTGAGACCACCCTGGATAACACAGCAAGATCCAGCTTCTACAAAAAATTTTTAAAAATTGGGGGATTGCTTGAGCTTGAGAAGTTGAGGCTGCAGGGTGCCATGATCGCGCCACTGTGCTACAGCCTCGGACAGAATGGGACCCTGACTCAAGGAAAGAAAAAGAAAGGAAGGAAGGAAGGAAGGAAAGAAAGAAATAACCAACTAACTAACTAAATAACTTAGAGTTTGTTCTAAGAGCCAAAGGGGATGACCCAGTTTATTTGGAATGGAGTCTGCTGGTCAAGCTACTGATAAAAATAAGCTCAGGTATGTTAGGGCTATTGTATCTTAAGAGCTCAAGAGCCAAGGAAATAAGAGTGAGGGTGCTGAAGAATATCGTGGGGTATTTCCTATGTGACAAAGAGGCCTGATAATTATCACATATAACATTTATTTAGTGATTTATAGTTCACAAAGCAACTTCATACATATTATCTAATTTAATTCCCATAATACTTGAGGAGTGATATTTATTTTACAGGTAAGGATGTTGAGCCAAAGGTGTTAACTGGCTCTGACCATGGGCTTGCCGTGTGTCTTCTGCTCTACATACTTTTCACAATGAGAGCAACATTTTAGTATGCATATTTCAGGATTCTATACATTGCATTCTATAAGGAGCAAGAAAAGGTAAGGAGACCATTGTAGAAATCTAGGCATGAGCAAATGAGGTTCCGCACAGTTAGTGACAGTGAGAACAGAAAGGAAGGCGAGCATAGAAAAATTTCAAAGGCATCATCAACAGGGATTGATGCCTAACTGGATTTAGGGAGCCAAGGCAAAGAGAATCAAAGCCCAAGGCCTGAGTGGGAGAATGCTGGTGCCATTTGCAGAAGCAGATAAAGCTCCTTGATAATTCAGACTGGCTACTGCATTTCAGTTGGAGTGGAAACTGTTCGTGTTGCAGCTCTTGCATCTACAACTCAGTGTGCGACTATAAATATATCCTCAGTAAATGAACAAATAATAGTTTAAGTAAGGGAAATGGGTGATTCTTTAACCAAGAATAAAGCATTTGCTAAGAACAGGAAGCCAAGGATAAGGCCTGGGTAAATGCCCTCAGTTGGGAGAGGCCAAAAAAAAGTGGGTGCAGTGCAGAGAGTGAGGGAATAGGATTAGTAATAAAAGAATTTGAGACAAAGGCCTGGGTAGGAATTCTAAAAGTTTATGGTTTTTAGACCCATGAAGGAAGCTTTCTTATTGTTTCAGAAAAGGTATGTAGTTTAGGCATTTCTTCATTGTAGCAAAACATTGACTACCAGGTCCCTTTTGCTTTGGATAAAGAGATTTCTCCCCAATTCATTCCTCCTTGCATTGTTTCTCATAGGGTCATCCCCACAGAACCTCTGACTTAGAACAATCACCTGGGACACTGCTAAGTCTATAGATTCCTGGCCCCCATTCCAGATTTCCTGAATCTTACTTTAGGGTACAACCTAGGAATGTAAATCTTTACAAGCTTCTCAGTGGTTTTCATGCACACTAACATTTTAGAATCAGTGCTATATAATAAAAGATAAAATGACCGAGAAGAAGAGAATATGGCTAAAAATGACCAGATATGTAAATTAAAATCCTTAATACATTCCTGGGAACATGCTCAGCATTTGTAGAAAAGTGAAAGGCAAAGCAACACTGTACAGAAATACATTCTGGAAAGTACCCTTAAAAAAAAGTAACCAGAAAGCATCATGGAATCTCTTTATGGGAAGTGATAGTTTAGGGAGGTCAACATTGCTGGTTTGACATTCAGCCTTAAAACAAACATCAGATTTTTTTCAATTCACATGCTTTCTCTTACCTGACAATTGTTTAAGGAAGTACAGGAAAAGACAATCTTTTTCTTCATTACTATTTGGACTTTTAGATCATATCCATCGCCTGTTCCAACACCTAAATGAAATTAAAAAGTTAGGCTGGTTAGCGCGAAGATCAAAATGTCTTGCCAATTAACATCATGGATTAAAAAGAGAAAAAATTAACTGGGCACGGTGGCTCATGCCTGTAATCCTAACACTTTGGGAGGCTAGGCAGGTGGATCATTTGAGGTCAGGAGTTCGAGACCAGCCTGATCAACATGGTGAAACTCTGTCTCTACTAAAAATACACAAAAATTAGCCCAGTGTAGTGGCACATGCCTGTAGTCCCAGCTACTTGGGAGGCTGAGGCAGGAGAATCACTTGAACCTGGGAGGTGGAGGTTGAAGTGAGTCGAGATCGTACCACTGCACTCCAGCCTGGACCACAGAGTGAGACTTAGAGCAAGACTCTGTCTCATACATATATATATATATATATATATATATATATATATATATATATATATATATATGGGAGGGTGACTTGACACCTTTCTTGCTAATGTCTTGCTTTCTTCAAACTTCTAACCGTAATGATTCTTAATAAGAAATACTGTGGTCTAAATTACTTTGGCCCTACTTTAAGTCTAGTTCCTGATGCAATCTCTATAAAAACACAGGTTATATCAAATTCCCATGGTATTCTGTATATATTTACAGACAAAGGCTCTTTTGCCCTTTTTTTTTTTTGTCAATTCAAATGACCTACTCACTTCCTTAGCATTTCCTCAAAGACTGTTTCTCAGGTCCAATTAATTTTTTATTGCTTTCCTCTCAACTCTACATTATTTTTAATTTAAATATGCACAAAACTAAAAGTAGAGAATTAAATATTCTAATAAACGAGTGTATTAATTATTCTTGATTGATCATCTCCTATGCCGTTTGTCTTCTTTTCATTTAATTTTGTTTTCACTAACACCATGATATTCATTTGTCATTAGAAATCACAGTTTCTTGCCTCAGTTCCCTCTTTCCCATTCCAGGTGCAGAACTTCTTTCTATTGATGTCCACCAGAAATCAGTGAAATGTAGAACAAAACTCGGGAGGCTAAAAATACTAGGCTATCTGTGTGGACACCAGCACCCCGGCACCATGGCACCTATAACGCCCAGCACTGGCACCACCTCAGGTCCACATGCTGGCTGTTATAAGAGGTTTGCTTTAGGGGTTCAGATGCATCGCCACCCTGCTACCTCTCTGGCAGTGGGAGTGGTGAGACCCCATCCCCTCTACACAAACACATCCTGCTTTCCCACCTCTACTGAGTGTAAGCTGTGCAGGGGAAGCAAGGTTGGTGATGGAGAAATGGACATGGAAATGGAGGCCAGTTTCTCTCTGCACTTTCTTTCTCAAGTCCCAGAGGTGTACATCTGACCAACTTCCCTGCCTCCCTGGGCAACAGTGCATCCCAGCTTTATCTCTCTGCTTCCATTCTGGAAGCAGGCAAATAGCTCTCATGATGTTTATATGGATTTTTACAACTGGTAATACTCGGTAACAGCTAGGGGGGTGAAAGATACCTCCATAGAGCCCCACTTTCTCCCAACCCTTTCCATTTCCATGTAGATTCAGGCAGGGAGGACCTAAGTGCTCCCTTAGGAGGTTTATCTTGACCCCCAGCACTGTGGCTGGGAGTGAGAGCCACAAGGTATGGGAGTGGCTGGGAGTGAGAGGGTTACAGATGGAGGACAGAGGGGAAAAGAGAGAGCCCAGGGGGATGAGAAAAAAATATGCCTCTGAAAGAAGGTGAGAAAATGATATGATATGAAGACACCTCTGCCAAGACAAACTCTGAACTAGAGGTGGTTATGAGAAATAACCAGTCTTGAAGGCACAGGGGTCTTCCTCCTCCCTCATCAGAAGCTCACTCTGCCCTGAAAAGTCCACTCTGGGTTGCGAACAGAGGAGCAAAGAGAACAGGAGAGATGGGAAGGTGATGAAGTCCCCCAAATTGGTGATGGAAAAGAAAAAGTGAAGAAAATCTAAGGGCTGGCAATCAATGGGCAATTAAGAAGGAATTTATGCATGAGGATATGTAAAAAGACAGGTATGAGTTAGGATCATCTGTATATATAACAATGAGCAAAACCCTCCCAGAGTGGGAACCTTGGCCCTCCTGCCCAATTCTTCAATTTTACATAAACACTTACCACGAATCGAATAAATAACGAATCTTTTTATAAACAGTGTCTTCCTTGGAGGGAGATTCCAGTTGTAGCTATGTTTCACTTGTGCAAAATATCTAACGTATCTATTCTGAAAAGCAACAGAAGCCTTACTTTAAGTGGAGATGAAAAGTCTAAAGTCAGCATTCTTAGTTTTTCTTTTCTTTTCTTTTTAATTGCATAAAGGTTAGGGGCAGTAAATAATTAAGGAAACATTTACTGGATGCCATTATATTACTAGACATTTTGAGGGATGCTGCCTCACAACTATCTACTTTGGGGGGAAAATACTGAATTAAGTGCGATGGGGAAGTAACAAGGATGGAGCCGGGTCTTGTTGACAGGCTGCTTATGGTTGAGAGGGCAACTAATCAGAACCAACAACAAAACAGTTACAGCATTAGCAGTGTGCAGATAGAAGCTTAGTTGTGACTGAGTTAGAGGAAGGTTTGTGGTTTAGTGAAGAGCAGGTTCCTGGGCATGAGAGAATGGTATATGTGAAAACTCAAGGGGAATACCTCCATACCTCGGAAGCAGGTTTCCTGTCATTCTTCTTTTGTTCCTGACAGCTAGAATTTCTTCGCTTTCCATTTCCCCAATTCTGTTTTCACAAGGAAGCCCTGGAATTCCCTTAGCCTTGTCCTTTCCCTAGGGCAAGCTGTTCACAATGGCTGTCCTTGAATCTATCTTCAAGGGGTTGAAGACCTTTGGTACTGAATCAACTGGTTCAGAACTCAACAGTTGGCCGGGCTGGTGGCTCACACCTGTGATCCCAGCACTTTGGGAGGCCAAGGTGGGCAGATCACTTGAGGTCAGGGGTTCGAGACCAGCCTGGCCAACAGGGGGAAACCCTGTCTCTACTAAAACTACAAAAAGTAGCCATGCGTGGTGGTGGGCACCTGTAATCCCAGCTACTCGGGAGTATGAGGCAGAAGAATTGCTTGAACCCAGGAGTTCGAGGTTGCAGTGAGCTGAGATTGCACCACTGCACTTCAGTTGAGGTGACAGACTGAGATTCTGTCTCCAAAAAAAAAAAAAAAAAAAGTTCATGGACTCTTCCATACCCATTGAGAACTGTTCATAGAAGTCACAAACTGCCATACTTTCCTTCAGAAAGGGCCAGTCATGAGGAAGGCTCATGAAAGTTCTTAACTTAGAAGTAGATGTAATCAGTAGAATGGCCCACAATGCAGGATCAAAATGTGTTGGTGTCTGAGAATCACCACCAGACACAGAGGGCACGCTGCCCTGAGGTCTTGCCAACACAACTCTCAAACATGCAGCTGAAACCCTGTGTTGCCCTGTCAGTGAATCAGAAGAGATTCAGTTGCAGCCTTTGGTGTGCTAGTTCTGGACTAAAGTTCGAGACGCTACACACGACTACAGAAGAGGTGCGGATGGGGAGATGTGTGGGGAGAGTTGTTGGGGGAGCTCCATCTAACATCTCCTTGGCTCCTGCCACCAGATTCTCCACCTTCCCCTAAAGGCTGTAACCTGCCAGGGCCCTTAAGCTGCTTTTGCTCCCATGCTTCTTTCTCCTGCAACTTAAAACAACATGGACTGGTAGTAGAAATTAATACAACCAACCCATAAGAGGCACTCACTACAAACAAAGAAGATATTATGAGGAAAGGGTGGAAAGATGGATAAGCCATGGGCCTTGACTTTAAAGAGGATACAGAAGTTACCACTTCAAATAGCTAGAGAATAATGCAAAGTGATGTAGTCCCTAAGAGAAACACAAAGGGCTTTAAGAACTGAAAAAGCAAGAGATTACTTGAGGCTGGGAAGGGAAAATGACTCTAGGAAAGGGGCATGAGCAATGGCACGAGGGAATCAAGTGTCCATGGGCTGGGAAACAGCACACAGTCTAAATGTGTTAGAGTGTGGGATGTGTGCATGCACAGAGTGGAAGAAAAGGTTGGAAAAGTCAAACTGTGGATCCTGAATGCCAGGTTGAAACACTTAGTTTATTGCTATTGGCAGTGGGGACATATTCTGGAATTTGAGCATGGAAATGGCATGATTAGGGCTGCACTTCAGTAAATCCACACATTCCTTTTAGCATAGGGTCTATGACTGTTCTTTGTTTGGTTTTGTTTTTGGCTTGGGAGTGGGAGAAAAGTATCAGTGGATAAGGCTGAGTTCTTTTGCCCAAACTAAACAGGGTCAGTAGTTACAGCGTTCTTCTAACAGGGCCAAGAGTACTTATTCAGTTCCCACCATCTAAAGAAAAACTCATTTACAGCCACATCCAAATCTAGTTAAGAATTCCCAACCCACTCTCACTTTGGTTTGAGGGGCAGTATAGAAAAGGCAATATAAATGAGAAGCTGTGCACAGCATGGGCTTCAGAGTCTGACATCTAGATTTCAGTCCTTGGTTCAAAAGTTAATGTAGTTAATTTCTCTGAACCTCAATTTTCTAATTTATAAGATGAGAATCATAGTAGTGCCTACTCACGGAGTTACTGAGAATATTAAATGAGATAGTGAATGTAAAACTCTTAGAATGGTTCAGCAGAGTCTAGAATGTTATAAATGCTATAGGATAAACATTCTGGTTTCTGCAGTAAACCAATTACAAGTAATAAAAAATGGCGAGAAATCTATGAAGTAAAAGAGACTTAGGAGACATAGCAACCAAATGAAATGTGTGGATGTTGTTTGAATTCTGACTGAAACAAACTAAATTTTCAAAGATTTTAAGACAATTTTGGAAACAAACATGGACTAGAAATTTGATATTAAGGATCTTTAAGGTATAATATTTTAGATATGATAAAAGATATTATGGGTTTTTTGTTGTTTTAAGAGTCCTTAGATGTCATACTAAAATACTTGTAGGATAAAATGATCTGACGACTGAAATTTCCTTCCAAATAATCCAGGTCTAGGGAAAGCAAGAGTGGAGGGTGGGGTTGGGAGTGTGAGTAGAGTGGGAAAAGTGTGGATGAAATGTGGCTGATTGCAGGCTGAAGTGACTGTTGCAGTGAAGTGATGACTATACGGAGATATATTGTATGATTCTCTGGACTTTTGTATATAATTAAAATTTTCCATAATGAAATTTTTTTAAAAAAAAAATAGAGTAACTGTATGTTTCATATAGGTGTTATGGGTTTTCAGTGAGATACGTAAAAGTGCGGTACTGTCTGGTGTATACAAAAGGGTTTTTGAAAAGTTTATTTCCCCTTTTCTTTCTCTTTTAAAATACACCTCCCCCACAACACACACACACACACACACACACGCACACACACACAGGGGAGTCATCCAAAAACAGTCTTTGTGATGTTCTGCAAGGGTTGAATTGCCCTAGTAAGGATTTGTGGAAGACTTATATCTTTGTTACATTGAAACAAAAGGCTGGTGATTTTAGATGAACTTCAGGGTCCTGGAGCCTTAGGTATTGGACCTTCCTGCTTTGGGAAAATAATCAACTCCTGAGCTCCATAAACAATAACCAGTATAGAATAGAAAGCAGGATGCTCTGAGGAAAAGCCACACCCCCCAACGTGTGGGTGGCACCTGAAGCAGGACCCTCAGCCTCAGGGAGGGACCAAGGCCTGTCGCAGGGCGCCCAAATGCTGCTGCCCGATCACCAAAGGAGAAGAGTCTAAAATGAAACCACGTAACAGGTGGCAATCTTAACCCACTCCCCTATAAAAGCTCCCCTTCTTAAAAAGAAAACTTACCTGAGAAGGAGTCTCTACTCCCTGATATTTAGTGCCATTGGTTTTATCTGTTCGCCGTTCTCCAAAATAGTACAAGCTTTCCTACAAAAAAGGAACCATGGTTTACCTGCATTCTTTCCTTTTCTATATTAGGTGCCCTTAGTCTTTCTAAAACCACCTTCTTTCCTAAAGCCAGTGATTTTTTTTTTTTTTTTTCATGGAGTCTTGCTCTGTCACCCGCACTGGAGTGTAGTGGCAGAATCTCACCTCACTGCAACCTCTGCCTCTTGGGTTCAATCCTGCCTCTGAGGCAGGATTATCCTGCCTCAGCCTCCTGAGTAGCTGAGACTACAGGCATGTACCACACAAATGGCTAGTTTTTTGTATTTTTAGTAGAGATGGGGGCTTTGCCATGTTGGCCAGGCTGGTCTCAAACTCCTGACTCAAGAGATCCACCTGCCTTAGCCTCCCAAAGTGCTGAGATTACAGGCATGAGCCAACGCACCCAGCCGCAGTGGTCTTTTGGCAAAGGCTACCCAAATTACCAAAATTAACAAAGTCACATCAAAGACTTCTTTCATTCAAGGTTTCGTAAAGACATAAAATTTTAGAGCTGGAAAGACCTTAGAAATCATCTGGTCCAACCCTTCTTTCCATCTTACAAATGAGAAGACCGAGACCAAAAGAAAACTACACAATCTGCCATGGAGATGCTGCAGCCAGTTAGAGGCAGCACAGACCTGGAATACAAGTCTCTGGTTCTCAGTCTAGGGCTCCATATCAGTGGCTTTCAAACTTTTCATTTTTTAAGTTGCAATCCACATTAATAAACCTAGGAAATGTACACACACACACACACACACACACACCCCAATACTTAAACCTTTTGATATTTTCTATTCTGCTCTATTCCATTTTATTTATTTTTAGTTTTAGTTTTTATTTTGAGACGGAGTTTCCCTCTTGTTGCCCAGGCTGGAGTGCTATGGCTTGATCTCAGCTCACCATAACCTCCGCCTCCTGGGTTCAAGCAATTCTTCTGCCTCAGCCTCCCAAGTAGCTGGGATTACAGGCATGTGCCACAACGCCCAGCTAATTTTGTATTTTTAGTAGAGACGGGGTTTCTCCATGTTGGCCAGGCCAGTCTCAAACTCCCGAGCTCAGGTGATCCATCCGCCTTGGCCTCCCAAAGTGCTGGGATTACAGGTGTGAGCCACCGTGCCCGGCCAATTCCATTTTATTTTTAAGAGATGTTAGTCACAACTCAGCACTTTATTTTACAACTCATTGATAAATCATGATCCATAGCTTGAAAAACACCATCCTAGAACATCCATTTTCAAAATCTGTGTGTCTCAAATTAGAAAAACCAAAGGTGGTGGAATTAGAGTGCTGGTCATTGTGCATAACCACCACTTCTTCCCTAGACTGTAGGCCAAACAACTCGAGTGGAGCTGCTGGAAATCGTAGCATCTCACCAAGAAAATGGCAGAAGGAAAAATGACGGAGAACACTGCTTTAGGTGGAAACAGCCCATCCTGTCTTATCAGAAATTTCTAGAGGTCACAGATTCCACATGTGTTGACTAAGCAGAGATAGTTACATGCAGGAGAGACTTTGAGTTGTGAAATCTTGCTTTTTATCTACCTAAGCATTGTGAGGATGGTCAAGACCCTTTGGAGGATTTATCTAATTCAGCTTGATACTATTCTCATGAGGAAAGAAGAAGTCCTGGTACTGGCAGGAGTAAGAGCAGGGCCAGGATAGGTGAGGGAACTACTGTGATTACTGAATGTTTTTTATATCTGTGTAACATGGCTTTACTCCCCTCACCTTAATCCTGCCCCATCAGGTCTTGTTTTTATTTAAAATGTTGATACTGTGTACCTCAAAATTTTTTGCATTAATTTTTATTTTTTAAATATTGCATTAAAAATCATTTATTTTAATTATTGCAATTTTTAGCATTCTCTTAAATTTTGCATCTCATTGACCTCACTCTACTGCTGGCCCAAAGAGATTCTTAAGCCAGCTACTAACTAATGCATGTTAAACAAGGAAGTATCAAAAACAGACTTTTTAACAACCACTTCTCCAATTACAGTTTCACTGAGCACCATGACTAAAATAATCATCTTAACATCCTACCACTGATGTTTCAGAACTAGCAAACTCAGTCATCATAAGACAAAGTTTGTGGTAACATCTTTCATACCTCTGCAGTTAAAAATATTTCAGTGGCAATCAGGCAGGCACAAACCATAGTTCCAGTTCTTCCTAGAAAAGAAAAGAAGTTAGTTCAAGGGACATGCTTGGTGTAAAAATACACTCAGAAATATTCAACGAGTTCATTTTAAGTTGATTTTCTTTCTTTTTTGCGGGGGGACAGTGTCTCGCTGTGTCACCCAGGCTGCAGTGCAGTGGTGCGATCTCAGCTCACTGCAATCTCTGCCCCACAGGTGGAAAATAAATTACATGTATGGTAAAAATATTTCTCACTACCTCTCCACGAAAGAACAAGATGAGATTTTTACTAATTCTATTCGAAAGCAGTAATTCATGTCTTATATAAATTCTTTTGGATAATAGTAAAAAAGAAAAATTCCCAACTCATTTAGTAACACTAATATAGCTGGTTCTAAAACTGCGTAAATACAGTAGATGATTACTTTATACCAGTCTCACATATAAATGTAGATACAAAAATATATATATTTTTTCAAAGTGAATTCAGCAATGTAGAAGCACCATGTATCAATACCAAGTGCCATTTCTTTTAAGAATGCAAGGATGCTTTTTTTCCAAGATGGCAGATTACAAGCTTTTAGCATGCCTCGGTCATTTGGAAATAGCAAGATAGTATATAAAGATCAACTCTGTAAGCTTTAATTCAAGAAAGAAAACGACAACTCCCTGGAATTATGAAGGACACTCCAGATCCTTGGGAGGACAATGCAGGCAAACAGGTCTTGTGACAACATTCGAACGACAAAAGTGAATGAAGCCTCAGTATGTGACAGAGGCAGACAGCATCCCTCTTTCCACTGGGGATCCTAGCAACCCGGACCCAGGAAGAGCACTGTTTCTCCCAAGTCCTGGAGCTAATTTAACGAGAGACTTGGAGACTTTGTGAGGGAAAGACACAAGGAAAAGCTGCAGGCATTTTCCCAAACCTGGACTGAGCAGGACAACACTGGGGAACCTTCCCCATCTGGCTCCACCCATCTTCCCCCTACACCCCCACCTAACCCCCATTCCGCTAGGGCTTAGGAGGGAGCTCAGATTAATGTATTCTCTAGGAATCAGCTCATTGCCTAAGGCAACAGAGAGTTCCTCCCAATAAACAAGAATCAAGTATATAGCCAGCACCACTGGCCACAGCCAGCTCTTACCCATTGGCGCCATCTACTGGCTTCTAGGTCAAACCACATACCCAATATAAAACCTGCTGATAGAAGTGCATATAGAAGCAACGCTGAAAGACCTACTAGCATTGCTCTACAGTCACATAACCTAGGAAGGAAGGAAAGGGAAAGAAGAAAATAATAATAATAATACAGGAAAGAAAAGAAAAAGAAAAAATCCTACCCACATAAAAACAATTACAAAAATTAGAAGCGCTAGCATCTCCAGATGAGAAGAAGCAGTGCAAGAATTCTGGCACCATGAAAAACTTGCGTGTAGTGACACCACCAAAGGATCACACTAGCTCTCTGGCAATGCTTTCTACCAAAATGAAAACTCAGAAATGACAATAAAGAATTCAAAGCATGGGTTCCAAGGAAGCTCAATGAGATTCAAGGTTGAAATCACCAAAAGAAACTTCTAAATCAATTCAGCAAATGAAGGAAGAGATGAACATCTTAAAAAGAAATCAATCAGAACTTCTGGAAATAAAAAAACTCACTTAAGGATTTCAAAATACAATGGAAAGATTTATCAATAGACTGGACCAAGTAGAGGACATAATCTCAGAGCTTGAAGACTGGTCTTTTGAACTAATGCAGTCAAACAAAAATAAAGAAAAAAATATTTTTAAAAAGTGAAGAAAGTCTTTGAGAAATATGAGATTATGTGAAGTGACCAAACCTACAAATTACTGGCATTCCCTAGAGAGAAGGAGAAAAAGAAAACAACCTGGAAAACATATTTGATGCAATTGTTCAAGAAAATTTCCTGAATCTTGCTAGAAAGGTAGACATCTAGATACAGTAAAGCCAGAGAACGCCTGCAAGATGCTATAAAAAAATAAACATTACCAAGGCATATACCAGACTATCCAAGGTCAACATTAAAGAAAAAATCCTAAGGCCAGATCACATAAAAAAGGAGTCCAATCAGGATAACAGCAGACACCTTAAAAATCAGGAGAGACTGGGAAGGTCTATTTTCAGAATTCTTAAAGAAAATAAATTCTAATCAAGAGTTTCTTATCCTGCCAAACTAAGCTTCATGAGTGAAGGACAAATAAATATTTTTTTTCCAGAGAAGCAAGTGCCATGAGAATTCATTAAAACTATACCAGTCTTACAAGAGATCCTTTAGGGAGTTCTAAACAGGGAAATGAAAGAATGATACCTGCTGTCATAAAAGCACACTTAAGTACATACCTCACAGACCCTACAAAACAACAATACTACAGAAAGTATAAAGCAACCAGCTAACAATGTCATGATAGGGTCAAAAGCTCACATGTCAATATTAACCTTGAATGTAAATAGTCTAAACACACCACTTAAAAGTCACCGAGTGGAAAGTTGGATAAAAAAACAAAACCCATCCGTCTGTTGTCTTCAAGACACCATCTCACATGTAACAACACCAACAGGTTCAAAGTAAAGGGTTGGAGAAAGATCTCTCACACAAACAAAACACCAAAAAGAGCAGGGATCACTATTCCCAAAACAGATAAAACAGGCTTTAAACCAGCAATAGTAAAAAAGGACAAAGAAAGGCATTACATAATGATAAGGGGTTCAATTCAACAAGAAGCCATAACTATCCTAAATATATATGCACTCAACATTGGATCACCCAGGTTAATAAAACAGGTACTTCTAGACCTACAAAAAGACTTAGCCACATAATAATAGTCAGGAGACTTCAACACCCCACTGATAGTATTAGACAGATCATTCAGATAGAACACTAACAGAAAAATTATGGATGTAAATTCAACACTTGACCAATTGGATGTAATAGGCACCTAAAGAACATTCCACCCATCAACTACAGAATATACATTCTTCTCATTTGTACACTGAATGTATTCCAAGATCAACCACATGTTCCACCATGAGGCAAGCCTCAATAAATTTAAAAAAAAGTTGAAATCATACCAACCATTTTTTTGGACCACAGTTGAATAAAAATAGAAATCAGTACCAAAAAGATCTCTAAAAACCAAACAATTTCATGGAAATGAAACAACTTGCTCATGAATGACTTTTGGGCAAATGATAAAATTAAAGTAGAAATCAAAAAATTCTTTGAAATAAATGAAAACAGAAACACAACATACCAAAATCTCTGGGATGCAGCAAAAGCAGTATTAATAGGAAAGTTTATGGTGCTAAATGTGTACCTCAAAAAGCTAGTAAAATCTCAAATTAATAATGTAACATCACACCTAGAGAAATCAGAAAAACAAGAACCCTAAACCTAGCAGAAGAAAAACAATAACTAAAATCAGAGCAAAACTAAACAAAATTCAGACCCCACAATTAAAACAAAGATTCAAAGAAACCAAGTCATTTCTTTGAAAAGATGAACAAAATTGATAGATTGCTAGCTAGATTAACAAAGAAAAAGAAAGAAGATCTGGATAAGCACAATCAGAAATAACAAAGATGACATTACAACCAATCCCACAGAGATACAAAAGGTCCTCAGAGACTATTATGAACAGCTCTATGCACACACACTAGATAATTTGGAGGAAATGAATAAATTCTTGGCAACACAGAACTTCCCAAGATTGAATCAGAAAGAAATTGAAACCCTGACCAGACCAGTAACAAGCTCCAAAATTGAATCCATATCAATTGAATTGGATTCAATTGATCCAATTCAATTGAATCCGCCAACCAAAAGAGTCCTAGATCAGATGAGTTCACAGATGAATTATATCAAATATGCAGAGAAGAGCTGGTATCAGTTCCACTGTAACTATTCCAAAAAGTCCAGGAGGGATTCTTCCCTAATTCATTCTATGAAGCCAGCATCACCCTGAAACCAAAACCTAGCAAACACACAATTAAAAAAAAAGAAAACTAAGGGCTAATCTCAATGATGAAGATAGGCACAAAAATCGTTAACAAAATACCAGCAAACTGAATCCAAGAGCACATCAAAAAGTTAATTCACCATGATCAAGTTCGCTTCATTCCAAGGATGCAAGGTTCAGCATATGCAAATCAATAAATGTGAATCACCACACAGAAACCACATGATCATCTCAATAGATGCAAAAAAAAAAAAACCTTTTGATAAAATTCAACATCCTTCTTGACAAAAAACACTCAAGAAACTAGGCATTAAAGGAATACACTTCAAAACAGAGCCTTCTATTATGAACCCACAGCCAACATTATAACAGGCAAAAGCTGGACGCTTCCCCTTGTGAACTGGGACAAGACAAGGATGCCTAATTCTCACCACTCCTATTTAACATAGTAGTAAAAGTCTTTGTCATAGCAATCAGGCAAAAGAAAGAAAAAAAATGGCATCCAAATAGGAAAATAAGAAGTCAAACTATCTCTCTTCATCAACAATATGATTCTATATCTACAAAATCCAAAAGACTCCACCAAAAGGCACTTGGAACTGACACGTTACTTCAGTAAAGTTTTAGGATACAAAATCAATGTACAAAAATCAGCAGCATTTCTATACACCAATAATGTCCAAGCTGACAGTCAAATCAAGAACATAATCCCCTTTATAGTAGCCACACAAAAAATCAAATACCTAGGAATACAGATAACCGAGGAGGTGAATGATCTCTACAGGAAGAACTACAAAACACTGCTGAAAGAAATCATAGATGACACAAACAAATGGAAAAACATTCCATGCTAATGGACTGGAAGAATCAATATCACTAAAACGGCCATGCTACCAAAAGCGATCTACAGAATCCACATTTTTCCAATCAAGCTACTAACATCATTTTTCACAGAACTAGAAAAAAACTAATTCATATGGAACCAAAAAAGAGCCTGAATAGCCAAAGCAATCCTAAGCAAAAAGAACAAAGCCAGAAGCATCACAGTATC